AAAAGATGAGTAACAGAGTGAGCTTTGGAAAGCTCAGTAATACAAAACTACCAGATGATGATGATGAACGTGCAGATACAGATAAATATATATTTCCTTATTGTTTCCGAACATTTACAGATTTTTATGTTGAGTAGAGATCCTACTGATATTTCAGGTGGTAACGGACAATGAGCTTTCAGTTCAGAGAAATATTTCGGATGACTGAGTTCAGGAGATCAGAATAGGTTATCCAGTGTGTTCCCAAAAAAACCATGTAACTTTTCAGATCTTTTTAAAACATATATATATATATACCCTATCCCAACATAACATAATGTGTAGGTTCCCTAGAACCATACACCCAACCCACACAACTTGTAAGGCCCTGAGCACAAAGCCGAGGAATATGCGGAAATACTTCCTTTAATAATACCCCCTAATTAAAACATATTTTCTTCATTAAACAGAGATATCATAAATCAAAACAGAATTCAGAACAGATATCAGAACAAAATCCAGATCAGAAATCAGAACAGAATTCAGGTCATGTATCAGAACAGAATTCAAGTCGGAAATCAGATAAAATATTTATATGATTAGGGAACACACCAGAGTTTACACATATTATTCAGAGATACTGGATAATCTTATCGGGTAGAGAGACACGAATCATCATTTTACCGATAAAATGTCGGAAGTTAGAATCACTATTTGAAAAGTTCATTAACTGACAGAATCATCAGTTATTCATGATATGATTTATCGGGATCATCTTATTCGGACACTTTTCTGAAGCTCTACGAAATCTGAAGGTATTCAGAATCTTTACAATCTATGACGATTAATCTGATTATCGAACAACTCCAGATGAATAGCTCCCAGAACCAATACTTATCAACTTGTCAATTTATTAACCTTCTAGGGTATTTACTCTTTAATACCAAATATTCTTATCCACGGATCATCTTCTGAGTCATCACTGAATAGATCTTAAGGAGACAAATAAATATTCTAATGGTCTTTATTTCATTTCCATGTTTCAACTATACCAGGAAATGCTGACATACTTGATTTGTGATTCATAATCCATAGGGATGATACATCATATAAGTTCATCCGAGTTTCCAAACTTATTCCAATCTCTTACTTAATTCTCAGTCTTTGAGGTTACTTAGTTCATTTAGCAATCAAGTCCTTTAGAGTTACTTTAGGGTTTTCTATAGTAATTCAGACTTTTGAATTTCATATACATATTGCACTTCCGTTCAATTCAATTTGCTAGTCGTAGTTGATTTGTCTAATGAATATCCACTTCTTAATATTGAATGCGATCTAGAGTTTAGCTGAGCTGAATACTTCCAAAATTATCATCAAGTCACACTTGAAAAGACGAACACGTATTCAAGTAATATCTATATCATCCAGGTACTGACATATCATTACGATTGATCAACTCACTTAAGCTGTGTTCCATAACTTTTAAAGGTAGTCCAACACCTATGCTTATTTGGATTACTTAATTAGTCCAAGACATTTACTTATTCTAGGTCATAAGGGTATTTTGGTCATTCTGATGCTCAGTCTTATTCCATTCATTTCAGAGCTCGAGGATATCCAATCATTCCTAAGCTTGGTGATATTCTTGGGTCATTTCCATTACAGGGGTATTTTGGTCATTTTATAGATTCAATTTATTTTAATCATTTTCTTCCGTCCGATCCTACTATTAAATTCAATATTATCATTTATTTTCGTCCTTTCGAACAATTCTGACAGCAGAATACCCCCGATAAATTATTCTTCAGGTATTTACTAAATACTCGGATATTTTCGGGTCAAGTGCCTTCTCAGATTTTACAAACGGAATATCATGAATTTTTTTTACAAAGACAAGATCTTAACAATTAAATTCGTATTTAATCAAGTTAAGTACAAATCCTCAAAGTATTTTCTCATTCAGGGTCAACTCGGACTATTTTTACCTCTCAAGGCATTTTCATAATTTCTTAACCAGATAACTTTGGTATTAACTCTTAACGAACATACTTATAATTTAGAGATCCTATGGTTAATTGCTTCTTCGAACATTCTCTTATCTTGAAATAATTCCTTAACTGACTTCTAGTATCTTACATAAACCCTCTTAGGGTTAAAAACTAGTTATCCAGAATTTCCAAGTAAAACTAATATTTCTTATGCACATCAATAGTTTTATCAGATCAATATGTCTTTTCAGATTTATTAATCCACTTCCAGGGACAATTTTTGTCATTTTCCAACATAAGGGTAATTTCGTAATTTTACCTAATCAAAATATTCTCATAATTTATCATCTAAGTACCTTTAATGAGATAAATTATAATCTACATATCCATGGTTGATTCCTTTATCACTTAATTCCAGAACTTGTAATTTAATTCTAAGTGTCCTCTAATTTCTTATAATAGTCATCTGAGCCATATTCAGTTACTTACTTCCTATCGCATTCGTATCGAGTGTAGAACTTCATTAATTACACATATGAGACCAAACATTTCCATTCATGCATTTACCAATACCAACATGTTCTTTAAAGCATAAAGAGGTAGTAATGTATTACCTCGATTTTCGTGCAATATTGGTCGACCATTTAAATTCCATTTGAACGCCCTCGATCTTTAATTCAACTTCTAATATTTTCCTCACGATCCAGGCCATCAAAATTACTAACTCGTATCTAAATAATTTCCCTTGCCATAAAAATAGCTTATTAGTATTGAAATAATAATTTGGAAACCCAATTAGTATAATAGAATACTTGTGGGAGCTACTTTAATAATTAATCAATATAATTAGGGATTGAACCAAATTAATTTGCACTATTGAGTCATAAACTAAAACTAAAGGAAACTATGAGACAAGACAAAGTTCTTACCAAGCCTTGACTCCACCCACGTGATTTCCTGTTGGAATCATAACCCCATTTTCCCCACATTTCAATCTCATTTATTAAGGCAAAGAGTAAATCCATATTGAGCACTCCAAGAGATTCACGAACGTGTTCACGCAAAAACCCTTTTAGCCACACTATCTTCTGCAACTTGCATCAGTTCCTTGATATTTCTTCAAACGTTCTGGAGTCCTATTCTTCCAGTATTCAGTTGTAACATGCGAATCAATCATAGGACCAGCTACAAAAGGAAGATGTTTTACATAGTCTAATTTGAAGTAATGGCGTCGTATTTCATGGATCCACCAAAACACCTTAGGCAAAACACGATGAACCTTTTTTTTAAGAATAACATCCAGTCATTTCCCTGTAACAGCAGTGTTCAAAACAACCAAATCAGCTCTTAGAGCAGTATCTAAAGCTTTTTTCCCCCTAGCCATGAAAACCTGCACTCCTTTGTCCAACATCTTATGTTCTAAACTATATATTACTTCATCTGTTTCAAATGCTTTTATAATTGTAATCCAATAAACTTCAGCACCAACACTTCTTAATAGGAATGTCAGCTCCATCAGCAACAGTGGTCCACCAGAAAGCGAGAGCTCATGCGACACCAGCTGAACGACCTTCGACTTCATAAAACTGAGCGGACTCGGCTTTGCAGCAGCGATCTGCGGCGTTCGTTTCTCGGAGGCTTGAATGACGTTCCGAGCAGAGCCGATACCATCAACAGTAGCAGAAACGTTTCGATCACATGAATCAAAGGCAGCTCTCATGAAGAAGGTAATAACAATTAAAACAGAAACCATTAGGAGAATAGCGAAAAGCCAACGGTTCTAAAAGTGACGGTGGTTTTGTAGGTGAATAAAAGGTACATGGAGTGGTGCTAGCGTCGTTGGCCATTGAGCAAATAATTTGGTATAGTTTTTCATGCTAGCTCAAACGTTGATTGTTTGGGGATTTTATGCTTGAAGATAAGGCTTTGGTGGATACTGGCCAAAAGTGAAGGTTGGAGGCAATCTCATTATCATTAATTTAATCCCATCACAACCAACAATTTGTCCATTTCTACCTACTCTATTATCATCCATTTGTTTAATAAATAATGGTCTAATAAAACAATTATTTTTCAACCAATTTCATATTTAATCTAGAAAAAAACATAACCCCTAAATTAGGGTGTTACACGCAATTAGGGAGAAGTACAGCCAACACAAGGTAAAGATTTGGTTGCATCAAACTAATACTATGAAAACCATGTTTCTTTGCTGAAATGTGCTGCATTTTGTTTTGGAGGGACAGTATAAATATGTTGCAAAGAAGTATTTCCCTCCTTCAATACCATCAGATTTCTTCCACAACTGAACATTATAAGGCATTTGATGACATCAGCAGCAGCACACCTGTTACGACATCAGCTTGTGCTCCATTATTACAATGCAATTAGTTTAAAAAGAAAAGGTAGATGAAAGGTACGTGTGAACGTGCATACATAGTCCATAGTAAACCAGTTAGCTGCTTCAACTTCAAACTCACAATTATGTAATAAATAACAAGACCTTGAACAATGTGTCTACTGAAAAGTATTTTTGTTGAAATTGAAAGAGCAAGATTGGTCGAAAGAGGATCAAGGCCTTATTATTGAACCTGCAAATTTATTGCAGGAAATTGTAGTGGAAACTTTTGGTGACTGAGTACCGAGTCTCGAGCCCGACCCAAAAACCCAGCAAAAATTAGTGGATTTGATATATATGAAAATTCAAATACTTTCAATATGAATTATCCGATACTAAATGATTCTGAGGCTCTGGATGAATTAACTCTGAATTTGACATATTGTTTGTTTACTGGCTCTGAATCATTCAGAATGTACTTCTGTGCTGAATCATTCAGCACTGTTTTACTGAATCAATCAACACTGAATCATTCAGAAGTACGAAATAATAAATAATCCTATTAAGAGGTAAACAAACTGCCCTGGGTATAAAAAATTATAGTAATTATTTTTTAAAAAAAATCAATGTAAGAAAGTGGGTAAAAGAAATGTACGTAAGTTCGACGCCGTTTTATCAATCGCTCAGCCTCTTTGGCGGCAATGGCAACGAACTTCATGGTAAAGTTCTATAATTCGACAAACAAAAAACAAAATGTTTGAAAAATCTTGCTGATCAAGCCAAAATGGGAGTTCACGGTCTCTGGGAACTACTGGCTCCCGTCGGCCGCCGCGTGTCCGTTGAAACTCTAGCCGGAAAGAAACTCGCCATCGGTAAACTCGAAATCCCTAAAACTTGCAATTGTACATTGTTTTAACAAATTATTTACTTTTTTTTATTTTAATTTTTTGAAGATGCAAGTATTTGGATGGTTCAATTCATGAAGGCGATGCGAGATGAGAAAGGAGAAATGGTTCGGAACGCGCATTTGTTAGGGTTTTTCAGGAGAATTTGCAAGCTTTTATATCTAAAAACTAAGCCTGTTTTCGTCTTCGACGGTGCCACGCCGGTTCTCAAGCGCCGCACTGTTATTGCTCGCCGTCGGCAGCGAGAAAATGCCCAGGCTAAGATCCGCAAAACCGCTGAAAAATTGCTCCTCAATCAAGTAACATTTCTTTCCCTTTTTAGGTTCATTTTTTAACTTTCTATGATGGAATGCTGAATTTTCAAGCTAATTTTGGTTATTTACTATTAGTTTTTTTTCTTCTAATTGTCAAAATAAAAGTAAAGTAATTGTATTTAATTAAAAAGGAATAAATTCCAAATGATTCAAGTAAATGTTGTTCTTTAATTTCTTAAAAATATAGTATTTGTATTAGTCTTTTTTAGATTAGAAAAAGGGTTAAAACTTGTAGCAACCGAATCAAATGAAAATTGCAAATTTCTTATGTTAATTTATTTTCTACATGTTGCCTTGTTATTATATAATTTGTAATGTGTGGTGGAGATAATGATTTTTCCCCTGTTTGCATCGAGCTTCATTCTTTTTTGGGTTATTATTCTATGTTTTATTGATTAATAGCTAAAACAAATGAGATTGAAAGAGTTGGCAAAGGATCTCGATAACCAGAGGAGAATGCAAAAGAATAGTAATAAGGGTAAGATGGTTTCTTCGGATAACCGCTCTGACACTAACATTCCAGGATATAATGCCAATGTGGAATTGACAAAAGAAGATGATGTAAAGCTGAAGGGAAAGTAAGCCGTCAATTGAATAGTTTCTTTTTGTTTTAAGGATATTATTTTACCATATTTGTTTTTAAATGGGCTTTTTTTCATTTTTGATCACTTTGTATCTAGATTAGAAGTGCCTAGTACTGCAAAGGATGGGGGCCACAAGGACAATGAAGATGAAGATGAAGATGAAGTGATAATACTGGTTAGAGCTTAATAACTATATACTTGTATTTTCTATCCTTGTAGAAGTGTTGCTTTTCACGTTTTATGCTAGATTGAACCACTTTAATGGAAGTATCACTCAAGTTCTTGTTGGAGAAGTACGCTATATTCGGGTTATCAAATAAAGTGTTTTTACTGCTCATTGCTTTTAATTTTTTTCAACTTATGTAGTTTATGATGGCTATTGTACTTGATTTGTTTGCAGCATGATATTGATGGAAATATTGATCCTGATGTTTTATCTGCCTTGCCACAATCAATGCAACACCAACTTCTTAAGCAGGTAGGGACCCCATATTTAGGCTGGTTTTGAGATTTTGCTGTTTCTGTGTAATGGATTTTATTTTCTCCATATTATTATAATTTGATGGTTGATATTGGTTAGTTGTTGTGTTTGATTAAATTGCAGAATGATGCTAAGGGTAAGAATATTCTACTAAATAACCCGAATCAATCTAACATTGAGAGGAGTAGCATAGAACATGACACTACGGCATCAATTAGTTGCAATCAGGAAAAGCTGGATGAAATGTGAGCAACATTTTTAGTTAAATTCAGACGAACTGCTCAGTTTGACTGTTTTGTTTTGATTGTTTTAATGAGTTAATTTAGGTTGGCAGCGTCTCTCGCAGCACAGGAAGATAGCAGCTTAGCTAATAATGCATCAGCATCAGTTGCAGCTATCCCTTCTGAGGAGGATGGTGATGAAGATGAAGAGATGATACTTGTAAGTTTTTCCTTCGAGAAAAGAATGATGACAGTATTGTGGTCAAATGTTTTGTTGCCCTCTTTGCTAACTCAAGTCTCTTTCTGTGGTTACTTGATCTTATTAATTCAGTCCTTTCATGATAACATATTTTTATATATTTCTTTATTGATCTTTTAATTTTATTTAACTTTAGCCAGCAATGCTTGGGAATGTTGATCCCACTGTTTTAGCTGCTTTGCCTCCATCTCTGCAACTTGATCTTCTTAGTCAGGTGAAAATATCTGTATAATATGGTTATATGTTTTTGTCATTTCTGGATTGTCGCTTCTTCTTCACAATATATTTTGATACTTATTGTTTCATTCCTGTTTATAGATGCGAGAAAGGTTGATGGCTGAAAATAGACAAAAGTATCAAAAAGTCAAAAAGGTAGATTCTTGATGATTTTTTTATATGCAATGAGAATGCATACCATGTTGAACGAAAGCTACTGGATTCTGCTGAAGGTGTTACTTGTTTAACTATCTTGTGTCTTCCATTTGCTCAATAACAATGACTATATTAATATTTGTTGGTTTATAGTTTAAGAAGCTGCCCCCTCCCTTTCTATTCATTTGAGTGCTGAGCTGTTTCTGCATGATTTTTTTTAAAAGAATTGGAGGTCTCGTTAAAAACCCCCTTCATAATTACCCTAGATCGGAGAGATTTCACGGCAAAAAGAGGAAGGGGGGAAAGAGTACCTCAGATTTTATTGATAGGGGATAAAAACCAGGATTACAGAAAATAGAAAACGAAAAATTCCAGTCTAACTGGTCAAAAAATAAAACCAAAACACAACCAAACCCCAAAATTAACCAATTCCCTTTTTTTCCAATTCATCTGCCTCCCTATTGGCATTCCTACTTACTGCATGATGGAATCAACAAGTTAATTTTATATCACTAATATCAGGAAGTCTTATAGAGTGGATTTGTTTCATTAATGACTATGTTAGGTTCGACCTAACACATTAAAAGTATGGGTTAAACCTACATATTTATATTTTATCAAAGCTTACCTCGTCGCTGATGCATTTTTTTACCTTAATCACTCTGATTTGGTAGATTTATTTGAGCCTTACGGGTTTTCTTTCCTTTAATCTCTTCTACTCTAGGCGCCTGAAAAGTTCTCTGAGCTACAAATACAATCTTATCTTAAAACTGTTGCTTTCCGTCGAGAGATAGATGAAGTTCAGAAAGCTGCTGCTGGGAGGGGGGTTGCTGGCGTACAGACGTCCAGGATAGCCTCTGAAGCCAACAGAGAATTTATTTTTTCATCGTCATTTACTGGAGACAAACAGTAAGTTGTAATTTTGTTGTTTTCCACATGACCATGCAAGCTGTGAACTTATTATTAAAACCCAGATTTTAATGCTTGGTTTGCATCTTCTTCAAACAAATACTGGTTCTTTGCTTGCTTTCTCTTTTTTGGGGGGTCGTTTTACAGGAGTAATAACTAGTTTGGGTGATACATTCTTAAATTTTCCAGGGTACTTGCATCTGCTAGAAAAGAGAGAGATGAAAATAAGCAACAAGAGATACATTCAGATCATCCTTCAGGTTCTTTGTGTAGTGTTAAACCAAGCTGTAAGTCTAATGTGTTAACAGACTCAGTCCCTGATGAATCTACTAGTGCTCCTGATGACGATGTTGGGACATATCTTGATGAGATAGGCCGTGTATGTGTCAGTAGAGTGAGAGGTATGGGGATTCGTATGACTCGTGATTTACAAAGGAACTTAGATTTGATGAAAGAGATTGAACAGGAAAGAACAAATTTGAATAAGGGTGTGAATCTGCAGTCTGTGCCAGATAAGAACAAAATTGACACTTCAAAGAGTGTATCTAGTGGAAACCATTTTGTAGAAATTTCACATGATGGTAACTCTGAATCTGTAAATGTGAATGAGAACCAGCAGTCTGCATTTAAAACTGAAGCTTGTATGGAAATAACTTTCGAATATGATGGAAAGAACGAGTATTTTGATGATGATGATGGTGATATTTTTGCAATGTTAGCAGCAGGTGATCCTGTGACACTACCTTCTCCTGAGGAAAAATCTTCGAGAAAGCAGGCTTTGGGTTCTGATTCAGATTTTGAGTGGGAGGAAGTTGTGGTTGAAGGAAATGGGAATGGTGTTACTCTTGGTATGAATGCTGAAAAAACTCTTTTGAACAAGGAAAACAATATTACTGATGAGAGTGAAGTTGAATGGGAGGAAGAGCCATCTGATGCTCCCAATAGTTCCTCTGTCCCTGTTGAATCGGGTAGAGTGCTTTCTAAAGGTTATTTGGAAGAGGAGTCTGATCTACAGGAAGCGATAAGGAGAAGTCTTACAGATGTAGGCGTTGAAAAATCTAATTATTTTCCTTCTGAAGTTGTTGAATCAAAAACCTTAGGAGAAAACTTGGATGAAGGTTTTGGATCTCTGCACGAGAAGGGTAATATGGATGGACCAAGTTTTCCAGGGGATAATGTTAATAGTCAGAATAAATCTTGTGAAAATTTAGATAGACTCCAGAAGCTGTACACTGGGAATGAACCAAATATATCAGAAAGCTTAAATTCTCCCAAGGGCCCATCACCTATACATAATTCTGATAAAAACATGACACTACTGAATAAACCTTCTGAAAGATCTGATGGTTCTCATTCTGAACAATCAAGGTGCAATGCAAGTTCGGAATTAGTTGCAACAATTGAAAGGCTCAATTTTCCTACAGGGAAGCACTGGGCTGCTTCTAAGGGAGTTGACAGGGTGCCCACCATGTCTGACATTGGGTTTAAGGACAGTTCTCATAGTTTGTATACAGAACATGGTGAACTTCCTGGTGCCATTCTGGTTGATAAGAAAACTGGTTCTGAAGATGAGCTGTCTAACCTGGTCAGTGATAAGAAAAGTAATGTTGTTTTGGGTCAAGATAACAAAAATAATTTTGAATGTAAACCATCACAGCAATCAATTGAGGCAGTTGGGTCATCCATTCCCCGGGTACAGTCTTATGTGAATACAATAATATCTGATATTCACATTGAGCAAGAACTAGCAGGGGATATACCTTACAGAAATTGTGTCAACGAAGCAGAGCAGCATAAAGACATGTCTACCATTAAGAACAATGATAGTGAAGAAATTAAGTTCTCGGAGACTAGCTTGGATGAGGAACTGCTAATTCTAGATCAGGAATGTATCAATATGGTAGATGAGCAGAGGAAGCTTGAACGTAATGCAGAATCTGTGAGTAGTGAGATGTTTGCAGAGTGTCAGGTGGGTGTTCTGAATTTTTGTTTGCATTTTAGAACATTCATTGTCATGATCAACAGATCGCTTGCTTTGGCTTGTAATCATCTTTTATGGATTCTGAATGATTACTAACATGGGGAAGCCAAATAGTTGGTAAGGTAGCATTCAAGTCTATAATACAGTGACAAGGGTCTGAGATATAAAAATTGATTATATATTTCTGAACAATTAGTTGGCACATAAAAATCCAAGAGACGTGCTACTTGAAATTTATGTTCACCACGCACATGTTTGGTTATTTCTCTCTCTTGTAACTTACATACTAGGGTCTAGCTTCTTAACAAAAGGGATATAACATGATAGAGAACAAACATGAAAATTTTATCTAACTTGGTTCATATTGAAAGATTTAGGTGTCTTTGAATGTTAAATTCTCTATGCCTAATATCTGTTGACATGACGCTCTGCAGGAATTGCTGCAAATGTTTGGCTTACCCTACATTATTGCACCAATGGAGGCAGAAGCTCAATGTGCTTATATGGAGCTTACAAACCTTGTTGATGGTGTTGTCACTGATGATTCTGATGTATTCTTATTTGGAGCACGAAGTGTTTACAAGAATATATTTGATGATCGGAAATATGTGGAGACTTACTTCATGCAGGTCAGGATCTTGACAAAGCTACAAAGCAGTTATTTTCTTCTTGCACCTCAAATACTTTTCATTTTTGGCAACTCTTTCATGGTGCAAGATTAATACCAGTTCTCATTTCTTTTTTAGGCTTCATAACAGTAAACGTGTTCTGTGAATTGGGTGGATTTGGGGTTTTCAAAAGTATTGCTAGTTTTTCTAGAATCTTTCCAGTGCAAACTTCATCTGTCATGTTCTGCTTCCTTTTTCCCTTTTGGTGGTTCTCTGGGGCCCTTATCACATACAATATGTTCGTGGTGTTCTTACTTTTTATTTCTTTCCAGTAAAGATTTTTTACTGTTGACTTTTCTTTTGCATTATTAGGGCCTACGTTAAGTGCCTTGTGTGTTCATTATGTTTGTCTTCCCCCCTTCCGTTTCCCTCGATTTTCTGGTTTACTTATTTCTCTTGTTCCAGGACATTGAGAAGGAGCTTGGATTAACAAGGGAAAAGTTAATGCGAATGGCAATGCTTCTTGGGAGTGACTACACTGAAGGGGTTAGGTGAATAATGGAGGCATTTTGACTCTACTGATTTCATGAATTAAAAGAAATATAATTTGACCGTTTAATTGCCAACTCCTTTCCTAGACCTGCTTCATTTGGAATCGTTTCTTTTTTTTTTACGTTTGGATTTCTTATCAATATTTAGTTCTTAGTTGGTGCTCTTCTGCATTGATAACCTTCAAGTATTTGGTCTTTAACTTATGTACATTCTAACGCAGTGGAATTGGTATTGTTAATGCTATTGAGGTAGTGAATGCATTCCCAGGAGAAGATGGACTTCATAAATTCCGGGAGTGGATTGAATCCGCAGATCCTACTATCTTGGGGAAGCTTAATGTGAAAGAAGGATCCAGTGCAAGGAAGAGAGGGTCTGAAAGAAGGACCGGAGATCAGAAAACGTTTCAAGCTGACAAGAACAAGCAGTCTACTGATTGTATAGATGACATAAAGCAGATTTTCATGGACAAGCATGTGAATAACTTGTTTCCTCGTTACTTTCTATTTCCTTTTTATCACAAAAATATTATTTTTTTCCGTGTTCTATGAATTTAATTTCCTATAATGTACAGAGGAATGTGAGCAAAAACTGGCATATACCCTCTTCATTCCCAAGTGAAGCAGTTATTTCTGCATATTCTTCGCCACAAGTCGATAAGTCAACTGAGTCATTCACATGGGGAAGGCCAGATCTTTTTGTCCTTCGCAAGTGAGTTACCTTACAATCCTTACAATTCGATCTTAACTTTCTTTAAAAATGACTTTAAAGTATTGTTCATGGCTCTGCATTTTAGCAAACACTATAAGAACAATTCTAATGTTAACACCTTTGCGGTTCTTACTGGAGTATGCTCTGTGCTTGAATGAAAATATGTGATAATTGTTTTCTGATCTGCCTTGATTGTATGCAGACTGTGCTGGGAGAAATTTGGATGGGGTAGTCAGAAATCGGACGAGTTGCTTCTGCCTGTTTTAAGAGAATACGAAAACCGTGAGGTTAGATTATTTCTCCCTTTATCATTTATGCTTGGTCTCCACGTGACTCTAAGCATTCACAGCATCACCTAGTAAAGAATCATGAACAGTAGTGGTATTTTTCATGGTTTTTTTTTTTTGGTTCAAGGGACTTGTCAGATGAAATTCTTGATACATTTTATTTTACTTGTTTAATGAAGACTCAATTGCGAATGGAAGCCTTCTACACTTTCAACGAAAGATTTGCGAAAATCCGTAGCATGAGAATTAAGAAAGCAGTTAAAGGAATCACCGGAAACCAGTCGTCGGAGCTGATAGATGATAGCATGCAACAAGGTTCTAAAAGTAGGAAAAAGAGAAGAGTTAGCCCAGTCCAAAGTGGAGATAAAAATCAGGGGAAAGTTCAAACATGAAAAGGAACATTTCTCAATGTCAGAGCAAATCCATGGAGAAAACAGTGCCTAAGACATCAAGGAAACGGCAACACTCTGGTAAGGATGTTCCATCTCAAATGAGCACTCCAGAACAACAACAGATGTCGCAGAGGCTAAGAGCCCCAAACAATCAGATGGGAATGGAAGAGGTAGAGGTCGTGGTGAAGGAAGAAAAAGGCGTAAAGCAAGTCGTGATTTTCAGCAGTCTGAAACCAGCTCTTCTGATGATGATAGTGGTAATGATAATCGGGAAGTTGATGAGAAGTTAGATCAGCCTCGTGAAGTGCGAAGGGTAAGCTATTTTCATTTTCTTGGTTTAATTGCCCCTGAAAGGAACTCCGAGTGAACTCATTTTGGGGATATTAATGATTTGCTTCAACTCTATTTGTTTCTTCAGTCCAAGCGAACTCGAAAAGTTGTGAGTTACACCGTGAATGACCTAGAAGATGAGGCTGAAGTGAGCCATAAAGACTCCTCTGGTGAAGACGCAATGGAGAAAGAAGCAGGTAATGGTGTAAAAGAAAAGATCCAATCTGAAGCTAGAGAGCCTTCTTGGCGATCGATGGAGACTATCTTGAAACAGGAGGTGGATTCTGCATGGATGAGAGGGCAACTGATCAACCTGATGAAAACCAAGAAGTTGATCCCTCTGAAACTGAACCAGCTAATGATTACCTGAAAATGGGAGGCGGATTTTGCACTGGAGAAAGAGACGATGATCAACCCGAGGCAAGCCAACATGATCCCTCTTTTGAAACCGAACCGACTAACGATTACCTGGAAATGGGAGGTGGATTTTGCATGGAAGAAAGTGAGACAACCAAGGATCTAGATACTGGTTACTACCAAGATCCTGTACAAGCAACCGAGTGCTTTGCTTTTATGGACAAAGCCAATGATAATAATAAACCAATTGTTGCACCGTGTCTGGACTATCAAAATGCTGCAAATAAAGATGATTGCAAGGAAAGTGCACCACTTCAAGAGACAAGCTCAAGTGGTGTCAGAGCGACATTCATAGGCGGTCTAAGGGCAATGCCTTGCTTGAAGAGAAAGCGCCGGAAGAGGTGAACTGCAGTCGAATTTCTGGCTTGTCTGAAACAATTAGAGCATGCAAGTTATCAATCTGTTTTCTCTTGGGACTTGTGTAAATTAAAAATTCTCTAGACTCCGAATATTGGACTATAGATGACAAAATCTCAAAGCTGAATTTCAAGAAAGTTCCAAGACTTTCATTCATCAAAGTATACCTCAAAAATGTTTGAAACAAAACAATTATTTCTTCTATTAACAAAATTTAAAAATATAAAATGTCACTAAACATAATAGATATGGAACACGTTGTAATGTTTGAACTAGCTCTTATCTCGACAATGTTAACCCTGTCAAATGTTCAGACTTCATGCTCAAAGGGTGTTAAGATGAGACGAAAGTACAATAAGGAGAGTTATTTTAACTGAGGACGCGGAAAAAATTATGAGAACCCGGATTGCCCCATCCAATTTCAATAAGCTTATTTGGAGCCCTCATACCTCGGCTAGATCGGGTTACAGTTGACTGCTTCTTCGGAACAAGATCCCTAGGGATAATGAAAGAATCTTGAAGACCCTTACCAAACTTCCCGTCATGTCAAAAATCAAGATCTTTGGATGGAGGTTTGTCATGATGCGGTCCCAAATGCACCTTTCTGAGGAAGCCTGCCCCTTCTGTGGGGATACTTTGGAAACGTTGATTCACGCCCTAAAGGACTGCCCAAAATCGAAGAACACTCTGCAACACTCAAGCCTTAGGACCCACATCATCGAGTGGCAGGGAGCGTCCTGCAAATATTGGTTAGATTGGTCTGCTTCGCAGTTGGATCACATTGGAATGGCAATTGGTTGTGCTTCTTTGGAACTTATGGAACAGGCAGAACAATTTCTTCATGATGGAGATACACTGAATGACAGAGAGGTGATCATTGCAGCCTGAAAATCTACTCTGAATTCCTTGAGGTCAATGAAGGCTGGACACACAAACCGACGACCACATTCCGCTCTCGAATGGTATAAACCGCTAAACTCTACCATTAAGATTAATGTTGATGGGGCCTACAGCACTTCTAGCAATGTTATTGTCATCGAAATTGTTGCAAGGGATAATCATGGAATGGTGGTTGGTGGGATGTGTTGGCAAATCCCCTACACATTCACTGTCGGGTCCGCAAAAGTTAAAGCGTTCACGCAAGGGATCAAGTTTGCACTTGAGATTGGTTGGAACATCGCGATCATCGAAGGCGATACGATTTCCATTATCAATAGTCTCACTAATCAAAGCGACACAGACGGATTGTTACTCAACGAAGCACGAGGGTTCCTTGCCTCAAACAATGGGCTTAAATATTTTATTAACCGAGAGGTAAACAAGGTGGCTTACAACCTCACCCAATTTGCTTTTTGAATCCCAATCCTTTTTGGTTTTATCATGACGAGTCAGATTATATTAAAACAATGTAATCTATGACGCAATTGGAATAATGAAATCTACGTTCCTAAAAAAACTCCCTCTTAATGTATATTAACCAATGTTATTTTCCCATTTAATAACATGATGACACGTTATCATCTTATGAATAAAAATTAAGAAAGTATGTTCTAACCAGATAGAAATGTGTCATCATTTAATTGAAGATTAAATTTATTTTAATTGAATTAAATTATGACCAAATTGATAAATGTATAAATATTAAGGATTAAATATGAAATTACTAATATTTTTAATTGTCACGTTATCTCATCCGTTTAAAATTAACGAGTAGTTTGATTGGAACATTTAAATAGTTGGATGGTTTAATTGAGAAAATCGAAATACCGATAAAAATGAAATGGGTAATAATGAGTGGTCACCATGTAGTTTACCCATAGTATGATATTCTGACCATGACAATTAGTTAGAAATAAGTGGTTAGGTAAGAAATAAGCGGTTAGGTAATATGATGTATCGTAGCCGTATATAGAGAATATTATCTGTTTTATTTGTTAATTAGAAAAGTATTGTGTTGTCACGGCAAGTGGGAATTTGTCAGGTACAGCTTGTTATCTAGGAGTTGAACCAAGTAAACACTTGTATAACTGCATCTACAACTATATTTTCCAATAACCTGATCAATTGGAGAAAGTGTGAGATGTTCATCTTTAAGTAGGTTTTTTTTTATTAAGATAAGGTAATTATAAAGTAGCATATGTTCTAAATACTTTCAACTATTTGATAATGAAACTTTGCTACAGATTCCGATATTCGAACCTATGACCTCAAGAAACAATATTGATTTCTTTAACCAATGAGGTAAGTTGATTCGTACTTCATCCTTAAGTTAAAATCGGGAAAACGTGATCCATTTGTTATATAAGAAAGTGTAAGAGGTTCATCACTTTATTATAAGGGATTTGTTTCACGGAAAATATTATTATTAAGGGGATTAATCTTTTTGGAATTGTATTCTCATATTTGGTTCACATAAAAGATCATTATTAGGTAATAATTTATTACCAATAGTGGTATTTTGGATAAAATGGTGGGAGAATGTCATTACCTCCAAATTTTAGGTAATGAACAATTCTACCACTTTGGATTCGAATACCCCTAAAATAATAAATTTTTCATATAGAACCTTCTAAATTCTTATTCTTCGTAATTTACTCAAAATTATAAACTTAATAATAATAATAATATACAAAGAGTTTAATTTAGTAAAATGTTGATAAATTTGTAAAGTTAAAATTATTTATATTTTTAATATTAGTATATTAATTATTTATAATTTTATGAGGTGAAATATCATTTTGTAAAAATATAATTATTTAAAATAATATTTAATTTTGAATTATTAAAAAACTAGATCTATACATTAAAAATAATATATTTTTCAATTGAGATCACAATATATTTTTCATATATATGATATTTTAAATAAATATGATACTTATGAAAATTATTTAAAATTATAAATTGATATACTAATTATATTTAAATAAATATTTTTTTTTTAAACTTAGATGATGTAATAATTAAAATATTTTTTAAATTTTCATTCAAATATTTATAATTTATAATTTAATTAGTTTTAGTTGTTAAAAAAATATATCACAATGATAATTTGGTAAAATGCATTCAAGTAATCTTATTCTCAATCAAACAATAATCTTACATTACTAATTATAGAATTATATGTTAAATATATTTTTTTTCTTTAAACTTAGATGATGTAATAATTAAAATATTTTTTAAATTTTCATTCAAATATTATAATTTATAATTTAATATTAAGTTTTAGTTGTTAAAAAACATATATCACAATGATAATTTGGTAAAATATGCATTCAAGTAATCTTATATCTCTCAATCAACAAGTAATCTTACATTCTTAAAAAGCAAAACTAAACAGTGTGATACACATTCTCGGAGTAATATTATTATAGTAATCTTATTCTAAAGATAATCTTACATTCTGTGAACCAAATGCATCATAATTGGAGAAAGAATAAGATATTCGTCCCTCGGCTATAATTTTGGAAAAAAATTAAGGCGTTTATTCCTCCATGAATTGAGAAAGCATGAGACACTTTTGACAAGATACCATCTAACCTATATATGTTGGGCTGAATTTTTACAATAATGCAGTTGAAAAAATTAATTGCTCGAATAATGTACCCAAGAGATTATTTTGTGAAATAGGATGAATGCTAAAGTGTATCCCGAAGTCGCAATGTGATCCAAGCAACTTACCGAAGACGCATTGGAGTCTAAGTGTTTTTCTATGCTCGACAAAACCCATGAAGACGCATTGAAAACATGTTCAATGTACAAATGATAAATTACACCATTCTTCATTCAACTTTACTCTCTCTCCTATTTTACTCACTGTACTTTTAACTTTTTCAATTTAATCACTTAACTTTTGGTTTGCTCATATTTTGGTCACTCTAATATGACATGGATTATTTAAAAAAATTATATGATGTGGCATAATTTATTAATATTTTAATGCCATATAAGATTATAATAAAAATAAATTAATTAAAAATCCAAATTATACCCTTAATTTTAAACCCAAACCCTAAATCCCAAAATCATACTTAAACCATATATCAAACCCTAAATACCAAGTTACAACCCCACCTTCAGCCTCACTCTCTTGCCGGTAGACGATGGCTCATCGACGGTAGTTCATTTCTTCACTTTTTTCTAATTTTGACTGGAGCCTTTTAATGCTTTTCATCATAGTCTTTTATGACTGCATTTTAGTCCGTATTTTCCGAACATACATAGGGCTTGATTGGGGCATCATCTTTTTGCACGGAATGAGAATCGAATTTGTGATTTCAGTATTGGGCACTCTGGTAATAGGCTTCATTGAAGTGAAGCTTTATTCATGTCGACTGGACACTTGGAATTCAATGCTACTGCAATGTTTTGGACAACAATTTCAATTAGAAATTATGTGAGCACGATGTTGGTTTCTTTAGTACACAAATTCAATGCTAGAGCTGATGGATCAAATTGGCTTCCATCTAATAACTTGAACAATGGTCGATGAGTGATCAAAATAGGAGTAAAACAATCCATGTCATTGTAGAGTGATCAAACTAGGAGTAAAACAAAAGTTGAGTGATTAAATTGAAAAAATTAAAAATACAATGAGAGAATTTGGAGAGAGAGTAAAGTTGAATGATGAATTTTGTAATTTACCCTTTGTACATTTACATTGTAATGAAAAAAAAGTGAAAAGATGGGGAAGACGCATGGAAAGCCATGCATCTTCCTTTGGCAATCGTGCGTCTTCGAGGGGTTCAGTTGGGTCGCTTAGACGACAGCGCGTCTTCGGAGTACACTGTAGCATTTGTCCGATTTTACGAAATAATTTATACACAGTATTATTCGAGTAATTTTTTCCAATGCATTATTTGAAAAATTCGGTCAATAAATGTTGAATTGTTACAATAATGCAGTTGAAAACAAATAATTGCTCAAATAATAAAACATCAGTTATTGAATATATACAAAATGAATGATTATGTATTTTTATACAGAAATTCTGAATGGTTCTTATCAGCTTCGAGAGAATTCAAGTCTTCATAATTTTACATGCTACTGCTCAAAAAGGGGTAAGCTTCAACCTTCAAGTTGTAAAACTAATCTGCAGAGTAATCCATCTTCCTCCAACTTTCAATATAGAGGAGGTAGTCTATTTCCTCTTAAGAAGATGATTTTAGTGTTTTTTAAGGCTTGCAGTGAACCGTTGATTTTGTTAATTTATTATTATTGTTATTATTATCTCTGCAGATTATTAGAGTCTTTAACTAAATTGCTAAATAAGAAGGAATTGATTTTTTTTATATATCGGCTGAGACTATGACCAATAATTCTATTTGTAAACACTAATTTTTCGTTTATTATTATTAAAATTATTATTATTATTATAAATATTATTATTAATATAATATTATTATTATTATTTATTATTAAATATATATATATATATATTACAAATTATATCAGAGGCCCAATCCCGTTTACAAGCCCAAATCCCAGGCCCAACCAAAACCGACCCAGACCAAAATGAAACCCTAAACATTTAGGGTTTCAGCTAGGGTTTTTAAACCCTAGCACTGCTGCCGCCGCCTCCAAGATTCCAGAAGAGCCCAGCTGCCGCCTCCAGGTGTTCCACCCGCTGTAGCCACGACACCACCGCCTCTTCAAGACTCCAGAAACACCACGCCGGCCGTCCACGTCGAGCTATGGGGTGTCACCACATAGTTTGGTGACTCACCAGAACTCATCTCTGGAACCGGTCCAACGAGAGCCTCGGTGGTGGCTATAAAAGCCAACCCAACTGTAAGAAAAGGGCGACCACAGCAGAAAACAACAGCAACCAAGAGAAAAACAGAAAGCAAAAACAAAAAAAAACAAAAAAAGAGACAGAGCCAAAACAAGCGAACAACAACCCCAAAAACCACAAAAATAAACAAGGAGAAGACGGAGAGATACTTACTGCAACATCACCGAAGCCTTCACACGTCATCGGAAACCTTCGAAAACCGAAGGTATTTTCGTAGATTTGCTCCGATTGGAAGCTTTTAAGGAAAAAGAACACCGGAAACGGTTTTAGATCGTCCCGATCTATATTTTGGTGTATTTTTGTAATTTCCGGCCACCGTTAACGGTGGCCAGCGGCGGTGATCGGCACCGGAGTACGGTGGCCTATGACTGTCGGTTTCCCTCCGGTGAGGGAAATTAGAGAGAAGCCAGAGAGAACTCTGGTTCTTCATTTTAGAGAGAGAAAGGAAAGAGGCAAATGAGAAGCTTTGGCCCTTAGGGGCCGGTTATGAGGGTATGTGCGTAATTTCCTTCACGGGAAAACCTCGTCCGCGGTCACTTCGAGTTTGTATTATTTACAAATTAGTCACTACAATCAACTTCTAATTATTTAAATTTAGTCTTTACTTTTTATTTATTTAGTCCTTATCTGCATATATTTATTTAGGGTAAATACCTAATTTAGTCCTTTACAGTTTAGTAAATATCATTTTAACCCGAATTAATTAAATAAGGCTAAATTATATTATTAGCACTTAGATCTTTTTATCATTCGAGTTAGAACCTTTAATTTTAATAATCATTATTTTAATCATTATTAATAATAGGGTTAATTACATCATTAGTAATTATATTTTTATAATACTATAAATAAGGGCTGTAAATTTTAATTTTTAATATTTTTTATTTATTTAATATGTTTAGTCCCTTTAATTACAATTTAATTTGTATTATTATCATTCAATCCAATATGTTTAAATGATTACTTTAATTATTATTTATTATTATCTTAGTCATATAATATATATAATAAATAATATTATTTATTTATTTTCTTGTTTTCTATGAAATAAAAATCCTATTATGAACTATATATGTTAATTTTATTTTATTAAGAAAATGATTTAGGTATTTTTTATTTTTTGCTCTTTCTAATATTTTTAAATAAATAAATATCTTACTATATTAAATAAATTTTTTATTTTAGTTATTTATTTATATCGAAGAAAATAGCTGTCTTAAAGCACCTAGAAGCTCTTTTCTGATATTTCTAAATAAATAAATATCTTATTTATATATATTAATATATTTTCTTAAAATTATAAATTTGAAATAAAAGGATTATGAATTAAATATATTTGAATTTTTTTTAATAATAGAGACAATTTATAATTAAAAAGTACCAATTTTGGGCGTTGTAGGGGTGATAATCCTTCCCTAAACGTAACCGACCACGAATCCCTTTTTATTTCTAAAAAGAATGAATTTTTGGTTAAAACGCAGATCAGTTTATCTTTTAACTGATGTTTTCTTAAAAACTCTTTTAAAAGATAATTTTTAGGTATTCGACCTACCTGACCCAAAAGGCCGATGGCGACTCCCAAATTATTTTAAAAACCATTTAATCACATTATTTTCCCGCCAAATAAAAAATTCGTGCCCGGACGAAAACCGGTTACGACAGCTTGGCGACTCCGCTGGGGACTGTCAAACTTTAAAATCAATTGTAAATTGTCTCTATCAGTTGGAAATTAAAAATTCATATATTTAATTTTTAATTCTTTTCTTTCAAATTTTTATTAGTTATTATTTTTATATTATTTTATTAATATTGTTTTATTTTTATTCAGATATTAATTATTTTATTTGTCTGTTAGAGGTTTGAACATTTCTCCTCACACACAACACTTGCATTGCATAACATAAAGCTCTATAATTGAGTTTGTCCCTTTTAAGTGGGAGTGAAAGCGACGTCTTCGTGAGAATTTATTCTCCGTGTCAGACCTAGCAAGTAACTTTCGGGATTCATATGTTCTATGTCTTCGTGAGAATTTATTCTCCATGTCAGGCATAGAGAAATGTGTCCCCTTGATTTGAACTCGGTCTGCTTAAGTCTGTAGTGGACTATGATTGAGGGTTGGTAGCCCAAGGGGGCATCAACAAGGACAATTCGAGTACCTTTACTCCTAGAACTAAAACCCTGCATATAATAAACCTTAGAACTTCTCCTAATCTAAGACAGCACTGAACCTCTATCCTTAGGTGTACACAAAGGAGAAATAAGCTTTAGCTTTTAATTTTTTAATTTATTATAAATGCCTGCGAACTAAAAATCATGCGGTTAGTTTAATTTTTCCAAACAAAGCATGGAACTAGAAAGCATGAGGTTAAGATTTATACCTTGATAGATAGATTTTTTCATTAGTTGGTACTAACTATTTTATTTTTTCTCATTTCTTTTGTTTGCATTGCATGATCATAGCATAACCAAAAGGTGTCTACTGGAAAGATTGTTCATCGTATTGGAAAGAAATCGTAAATGGAAAAAAAGTTTTATGATCAAACAAAATATGATGCGGCCAAGAAAAGACATCCTGAGGAAACTCCAAGGATAGAAGCAAGCTATGCACCCAAAGATCGTATGCCCATTGAAGAGAAAAAGGAGATACGAGAAATAAGAGAGCAAATGACCAGGATGATGGATAGAATATTTGTTTTGGACAAAGGAAAAGAAATTCCTGCACGGAAAGAGAAAGAGCTCAATGAACTTAACCCTGCAATTTCAGATACGCAAGGGACTTCGATTCTTAATCAATTTGAGAAATTACCGACAGTCATCATTCGTATTCACAAATCGTCTGGAGATATCAAAGAAATGGTGACCACTGTAAAAGCTCTCAGAGATGAGAAGAAATTATGTAATCAGAAATCATCAAAGTTGGGTCTGCTCCCGATGTCTAAAACTCAGGTTCAATCCAAGACAAAAAGTGGTTCTCATGTTGATGCTATACCTATATCATATAAAGAGTTGTATGAGAAGTTACTTGAAGCACGAGAAGTGGATCCATATTATATAAAACCGTTCCAACCTCCGTATCCAAATTGGTATAACATCAATGTTTATTGTAAATATCATGCCGGAGCTCAAGGACATACCATTGAAAATTGTCTTGCCTTCAAACGTCAAGTCTAAAGTCTTTTGGATCAGGGAATCTTGCAGTTTATGATAAATGATCAACCTAGTTTGGTAATTGAAGATCCTGCCAGATCAACACCAAATGTATTCAAAGGTAATAGCATCAGTAGGGACGTCCAGACGGAAGAAGATTTGCTGAGATTCGAAGCCCAAATATGTCATTTGAATGATCAAAACGATAAATTGAGCACCGAAATGGAAAGCATACAGGAAGATTTCCAGAAAGTCAGTCAAGCCTTTCGAAATGCTGGCATAGGAAACACCCTATAAGAGTGGATCACAGGGGTACCAAGCTGAAAAAGAATTGTAACATACATGAAGGTCGAGCAAAGAAGTTTTATCATGATTTACGAGTTGCAGAAGAAATACGCAATACGTCTGTCAGTGAATTGAAAAGATGTCAAGTCGAAAATCAAGTGTTGAATAGTGCTATGACCAACATGGAAGCATCATATCAGATCTATCAGCATGAGATTGATACTGAATTAAAAGCCAATATAGACAAGAACAAGGCATTGAAGAAATGTTTAGATGATTATGGAGATCTTGTACGAGAACTTTTTGAACACAAAGATTCTCTCACAAGAAAAAATGAACAATATTGTTTACAACTTCGAGAATTGACACAAAGGATGAAGGAAAAAGACAATGTCATGAATGAAGCTGCTGCTCAAGCAAACAATGTGGCTCATAAGCTGGTAGACTTAGCTGGCTTCACGAGAGAATTAAAGCAGATGGATAACTCTACACCTAAGTATGAGTGGAAGTTAGTTTGGCTTTTAAGTGAAATAGAGAAATTAGGAGTGAAAGCTATTCCCTACATGTAAAAGTTTTGTTTGATGTACCGAAACTTTTGTATTCAATGAAATCTGTTCTAAGATGATCACTCTTGAGTAAACACCTTTTCATATATGCATTTTCATTTTGCATCTTTGCATTTTTCATTTTGCATTCATACTTTTATGTTTGCCTTTGAATTGCACATTTTGCATTCTTATTTTTCCATTTATGCATTTTCGCATTTACATTACATTTGTTATTTTAAGTATTTTTATATACATTAAATATAAAAACATGTAAATAATTCATGAAAGGTTCTGTAACAGTAAAAACCAAGACCATTCATTCATATTACTTTACTATCATCATGAAAACAATGGAGCAATCTTATAAGGGACTACAAGACCAGTGGCCAGAACAATTGACATGGTTACCTCGGGATACAAGGAAAGAAACGTCAGATTCAGTACCATATGGATCAGATCAAATTATTCAGGGAATGAAATCTGATAAAGAAGAGATAACTGCTAAAGAGAAATCGTGCTATCAAATTGAAGAGTCGAGAAAGATAACATACCCTGGGGCATCCCACTCAAACCCAAAGAATAGCCTCATTAATTATTCACAATATGAGGAGAGAGTCAAGAGGACAGAGAAAGCAATCAGAAACATGAAAGATGTTAGTGCCCACCACAAAGAATTAGAAGCAAGAGAGCTCAGCTTGGTTCCAGATTTGATTATTCCCCATGAATTCAAAATGCCTGATTTTCAGAAATATGATGGCACCAGTTGTCCCTTAATCCATTTGAGAATGTTTTGCAGAAAAATGGAAGGATATTTGAGTTCTGATGATCTATTAATTCACTCTTTCCATGATAGTCTTGTTGGCCCAACAGTAGTCTGGTACAATCAGTTGACCCAAGAACATATCAAGAGATGGGTGGATCTAGCTGATGCATTTTTGGGACAATATCGGTATGTTAAAGGCTTAACTCCAACACGTATGGATCTTCGAAGAGTAAAGAAGAGAGCCAATGAAAGATTTCAAGAATATGCCCTAAGATGGAGAGGAGTGGCAGCACAAGTTCAACCTCCCATGTTAGAAGAAGAGATATCACGTATGTTTCGTGATTCCCTTCCCGCTCCTTTCTGCGAGTTGATGCAGGCAAATCCGACAAAGGAATTTGGGAATCTTATGACAAGTGGAGATTTAATTGAGAATGTAATTAGTGAAGAAAACTCAAAAGTCACATCGAAGAGCCCGACTGATCAGAAAGCAAAAGCTGATCATGTGAATGAGTGTCGCATCCAGAATCCCCGCAACTGCAAAAGAAAAAGAGCAAGTAACTGTTCGGATCGACCAAAGAAAGTCATGCGATCAAGAAAAACTTTGGAAGTGTTCCAAACTTCCATTTCAGACTTGTATCCTCATTTGGTTAAAGGTCAATACATCACACCAAGACCAACTAAAGTGACATCAAACCCTTCTGCTCATAGCCATGATCAAAATAGTGTTTGTAATTTCCACTTGGGGGTAAAGGGGCCTTCTATAGGCAATTGTAGGCCACTATTAAAAGAAATTGAGATGCTTGTTGACAAAGGGGTTTTGACACAAGAAATGATCAAGAAATGGGGGGCAAATGAAGAAAAGAACCCTAATCCTATTACATACCCAACATTATAGGAATAATGAGGCATGATGCATAAACAAGTGGAAGTGTTATCTACCACTGTAGTACTTTCTATTTTCAGCATCTTGTTTGAACTTGTTTTTTATTTTGTTCCTTTCTCCGCCTTTTGTGCAATAAATAAATTTGTGTTGCTTAATAAGGTTATAAGCATTGAATCAATTTTGTAATCTTGCAGTTCTTTGAATATCAACTGGATTAAAAACTCTTCATGATTAGAGTTATAATCTTTGACAGAATATCAGGATTGAAAACCAGAAAAACAAGGACCATTGACCTTACCTCAGAAGAAATACACCCAAACACTATCCTATTACAAATATGAGATAGCCTACTCCTATTGAAAGGAATTACAAAAAGGCTTGGTATTTATATATAGGAGCGTACAACATGGGGCATCATTGGTGTATTACATTACAAAACCGACTAAAGTATTTTTCTATTGATGACGTTCAATGATGAACGTAATCTTCACAAATAGGTAAATCTAGTTTAAGTCAGTTGAGAATTGAATTCTAACAAAGATTTTCTGAATTCCACTAAACACCTAGACTATAACAGGTTCTTCTTAACAAGCTTAAGAAATTGGATTTGACACCCATGTTATATTATTATACAATAAGCTTGAGTTGTCCCTCTAGAGCAATTGGTTAATCGCCCTGGCTTATGGATAATATTCAGCTAGTCTATATTACTATTATATGCAATAAAGCTGTCCCTCTAGAGCAATTGGTTAATCGCCCTGGCTTTATGGATAAGTTTCAATTAACTTGATAAAAGTGATTATTATATACAATAAGCTGAATCAGCTAGCCAAATGGCAAATGTGTTAAGAGATGGACTAAGGGAGTTGTGAAACACCTGTTATAGTCAACTTCACACAATCACTCAGAAATTTCATTTTTAGACCGATATTTTTGCACTACTTTGATTAGATGAGTCTAAATGAAAGATTCCATAGAATTGAAATGGAAGGATTCTAGAAGGTCTAGTGATTGGCAATCCTAGTTGCGTTATTTTGTACGCAACCGGTTAAAATACCAAGTCCTCAAAGTGAGACATGTGACAAGGTTCACAAAGAGTGAGAGATGAGTGACAAATAGGAAGGCCATCCTGAAACCAAACCAAATCTTGATACTTGTCAAAGAATTATAATTATCAAACATTACAGAGTTGTTTATTCTTTTGATATTCTTTGAATTCATGCTTATGATTTGATTCTATTGTGAACCTGTGATAGGCAACATTTTACAAAATTATTTCATTCTTCAATAAATAAAGGAGAAAAACATTTTCAAACAGGAAAGTCTCAAATGAGGAAGGTCCTTGAAGCAAGACGATGCATATTCTACCTCTGTTGTAGAAAAAGAATGAACGAGGCCAGAATAATGAAGCACTTCACATTTTTGAAGGCAAGTGGTCCAAGAAGCCAGAAAGTCTGAAGAATTGAACTTGTGACACTCTCCTATGACATCATTAGCAATCCATCAGGAAAGATTATCATTTATCTCATGCTGAGGTCGATAAGCATCACCAGAAAAATTATTTTCCCCAGCCATCAATCCATGTTCTCTAGAAGATTACATCATAGAGCCATGAACAAGTCACTACCTGCACTCTGGTTATACTGTGATGCTGACTCAAGTCTTGATACATCATTGCTACTTCTTTCATGCCGATCATTTTCTTTGTCAAGATGATATCCATTATGCCCTTCAGAAGATTACTGAATTTGAGATTGAGAACTTATGGCACAGAATAAGACATTGAAACAGATTCTACATTTGTATGCCTTTCATATTGGGTAACATTGGTTACATGATTCTAAAAGATGAGATAACCAGTTTTACTATAAGCCAAACCTTTCCATGGTTCGGGAAGAGTGGGATATTGCAGTACATATTTGGAGCAATAGAAAGACAGTCGTTATAGCAGTCATTGCAAGAAAAGACACTAACAAAAATCTTCTAGTTCATCCTGATGACGTTTATTTCTTCCAGTAAGGTTGTTACATTGGATGCCATCGACAACAAGGTTGAATCCTCCAAATCTACTCATCAACTGCTCCAATTGATCACTATTCAGTTCTTGCACATCTGTTTTCAAAGGTATGCCAAGACATTAGAAGGCAACCTCTGCATCATTGATCCCAGAGAAAAGAGACAGGACATTGATACCACCATGGAACATGTCTCTATACAGATTCTCGTGTATGGTTTTTAGGGAAACCTAGAAGCATTTCCACCTCATCAAGTTCAAGTGGAACAATTTTATTCCTTCCAACCCATACCAGATTCCATTTTCAGCACTCATCAAGAACATACTTCTGGACACTAGAAGATGGCTCATCGTCATAAGCTTCAAGAGCCTTACAGATCATTTCTGTCAATTTGGCACTTCCTGTACATGTTTATAAACAGTTCAACTTTGTTCTTGGATCCCAGGAAGACCATCATTTCTTTTTCAATGAAAAAAATATCATGTATAGTGCATGGAGAAAACAAGATAAGAGGAAATATGTTCTCAATTGGCAGATTATGAATATAGCCCCTTTTCAGTGTAGTAGCATGAAAATGCTTCGAATCTACAAATTCTGGCTCTACGTCGAATAAGTACTGTGATATTCCAGTCCAAACATTAACTAGAGCAAGTGCCATGTGCTCATAGTAGAAATAAGAAGACCCGATAGCATCTTTTGGAAGTGTTTTTTTAGTTATCCGATCTGGTTTGGTATGAACCCTAAAACCAATCATTGGATTTGAAAGATGAAGTTATTCATAGTAGAAATAAGGAGACCCAATAGCATCTTCTGGAAGTGTTCTTTGAGTTATCTGATCTGATTTGGTATGAACCCCAAAATCAATCATTGGATTTAAAAGATGAAGTTGCTCATAGTAGAAATAAGGAGACCCAATAGCATCTTCTGTAAGTGTTCTTTGAGTTATCTGATCTGATTTGGTATGAACCCCAAAATCAATCATTGGATTTAAAAGATGAATTTGCTCATAGTATAAATAAGGAGACTCAATAGCATCTTATGGAAGTGTTCTTTGAGTTATCTGATCTGATTTGGTATGAACCCCAGAACCAATCATTGGAATTGAAAGATGAACTGCATGATCGTCTTCATTAAGAAGCTTCTTTTTCAAGTTTCCTCTGCTTCTTCCTTTTCAAAAATCATAGCCCAAGTTTCGCCTTTGCTTGTAATTGGGATCATTGCATAATGGCTTCCTATCTTCTACCATAAGAAGTGCGTCAGCAGCCTTAGCCATTTGATCAACACATATAAAATCTGTCAATTCTGCAATTGATGAATCTATACCACATCTCTTCATGGTTATTGAAGTCTTAGCCTCTGAGTATCCCATTTTCATCAAGTATAATAGTTTATTCTCCTCATCAGAATCAGAATTCAGAATTTCCTCGGTATCAGAAGAACTATCAAATATCTGTGAAATCATCTTGAAAGATCGCTTCATAATCAGATGAGTTGTTATCAGAATCAACATGTTGCATGGGTGTGGATTTTTGATGAGCGTGTACCATTGTATATGTAGTCTTGCCATTGCATCAGATTACTGTTTGCATAAATTGGTTTCTCTCCCACAGAAAAGTATTTCAGAGATGGCCTTCACTGAAGATGATAAGCCACTGTCAGCCTGGAATGGATTACCAAGCTATTTTTATACTCTGTCTGATTAAATCCCTCCAGATACAGAAAATGGCCACCTCATTCAAAAGACACATATTCAGCGTTTCTGTCAGAATGATTAAGCTTCTTAGTTTGTGACAACATGAAGAGAATTTTAGTTACTTGATAACACTGTTTAGTGACACCAGAATGAGAGCATTCAAGATAAACAATTTGGGGCACGAATGTTGGTGGCATCTTGAAAGTCCAAGTTAGACAGATCCATGTGGGACATCTTGAGGGCCAATTTCAACCAGTATGAATATTTGGGCATTTTTGAAGACTCGTCTCAACAAAAAAATAATGATTGAGCACACTTTTAACATCTGTATCAGCAAATGTTGGGGCATTTTAAAGGTTCCTTCTAACATATCCATGTGGGGCATTTTGAAGGCTCAAATTAACAAGAAACAAATGTTGGGGCATACTGAAAACCTTTGTTAATCAGAATCAGGAATGTTGATGTATCCTGAATGTTTATATCAGCAAAATGCTAGGGCATGTTGAAAGCCCTTTTCAACCAGAATGAAGAATGTTGATGTATTTTGAACGCTCATATCAGTAAATACTGGGGCATGCTGAAGGCCCACAACATCATGTGTCCAGATCATTGATTTGAACAAATATTTTCAATGAGACAAAAAGGTATGAAGAATGAAAATGGTGAAACAGTGACAGTCGAGCTGATTATACATAATTGCTTCGTTTATCAGGCAGTTGCATTAGAATCTTGTTGTTGAACAAATATCTACTCAGTAATTATGGTTTCAAATACCCAATCTTCTTAACCGTGTTTCACATGACATCGTGTTCCTTGTTAAACTACATCACGGTTGCATGAATAAAGATGGTCCCCAGGAGACTACTCGATCCAGGGTTCAGTTCCTCAAGATCTCAGCTTTGAATTTTGCATCAGTGATAATTGAAAATATTTCTTTGAGGTTCCTGGAATTTAGTTTCAACCATACTATTGAGGTTATGAAGTTGTTTTTCACATCAGTTTTTGTTTACTTGATGATATTAAAGAGAGAAGCTCAACTTACACATATTACCCATTCCCACTGTTACTAGGGTTATCATTTCCAAGCCATGCTGAACTGAATTTTTATCTATTTTGGGGTTTTATCATGTGCGTTTCATCCCCAGCAGCAAGAATTCTACGGATATCGTTCTGTACATGGATCCTATAGCTAAAGTGTTTCTACTTTCTATAACACTCAGTTATAGAAGAAAACATAATCAGTATTACATTTCCCTTTGCCAGAGATGATATCAAGATCAACATATCACTTGTATCCCCATTGAGTTTTGTTCTCAAATGGTCTTGTGACACCATACAACAGCTTTGAACACTAGGCAAAGAGCTTCAATGATTGAGAAATCTTGGCAGAAGCCACAGAAAATGATGAATGTGTTGTCAAATGCTTCCTTGACCAACAATCCGAGCAAAAACCACAGGAAAAGATGAATGTATGTCAAATGTTTTACGAACCAGTGATTATGGTGCTGACCAATGTTGCAATCATATGGTTTTCATTTATTGATCCAAGATGAAGTTTGTCTTCTTCAACCCCAAGATTAAAGTGAGATATAATGAAGATTTCTTTCCAAGGAGAGCTGAAATTTTAAACAAGAAACTAATGGGGTCAGCTAAGGTTGAACTATAGGTTATTGTTAAGCATCTCGACATGATATTGGTCCAAGTTGCCTTATTCGAGATCTGATTATATGTGGAGACATAAAAGGAATTGGGATAAATTCTCCTTATGATGTGTTTCAAAAGTCAAATCAGAACAGACTCTACTCCCCTAATTAATCCCCGCTGAGTTAGGCATATCTACATCTACACTCTTCAAAGATGATAGATTCTCTTTTTAAAGATGATAGATTCTCTTTTCAAATATGAAAGCTTTATTGGATTTTTACACAAGTCCAAGCAAAGAAAGTTGGTTTTATCCAAGACAAAATGGGGCATCAGGGTCATAATTTTGACTACGACAAGAATTCCACAAGTGAAACATTTCTTCTGAGACTTAAATGAAGCAAAGAAAATGCAAAGATACAAGTTGATCAGGTGATTCTGTAGAAATGCAAGCTTGACAGCATAAGTTTCTACACTGATATCCAGAGGTAGCCCTGGCAATAAATGATGAATTAGAGGAAGACCAAGTTCACCACTTTGAAGACGAATGAAGATTGCATCAACATTCATGCATTCATAAAGAATATCATTACAGTAGACAATGCATCACATTGATACATCTGAGTGCATTCAAACATGAGTTTTACAGATCTTCGAAAGAACGAAGGTAAAAATACCTTACAAGAAGAAGGTATTCAAAACCAAAAATACAGGAATCACGCAAACATCTGAAGAAGAGATGGACGCAATCCACAAGAATGAGCATTATCTTGAGATTAGGGCATGTTACCTAATCAATATGTTATTTCAAAAACATAATGAGAAAACGATTTCCATAGTTTCTCATTTTATCTTTTCTAAAAATGAAATTGTTGAAAAGTAAGAAAACGATTTCCTTAGTTTTTTTTACTTAGTAAACTATTTCCCACATCTGTAGTCCTACAGTGCATGATGTTTCCAAAAAGCCTTCGGGAGCTTTTTGATGTTTTCAAAGCCTTAGGGTCATCTGTAAGTCCTGCAGTGCATGATGTTTCCAAAAAGCCTTCGGGAGCTTTTTGATGTTTTCAAAGCCTTAGGGCATCTGTAAGTCTTGCAGTGCATGATGTTCCAAAAGCCTTCGGGAGCTTTTTGATGTTTTCAAGCCTTAGGGTCATCTGTAAGTCCTTCAGTGCATGATGTTTCCAAAAAGCCTTCGGGAGCTTTTTGATGTTTTCAAAGTCT